TTATGAATCACTTTCTTTTTTCATCTTTGCTGGCTCATAAGCATTCAGCAGGTGTTCAGGGCTTTATGGTTTGCATGGTGCTTCTTTTTTGACTGGTTTTGATATGTTTTCCAATTTACTTCTCTTATGTAGCTCATTGCTCAGTTCCTGTAATTTTTCCTCAGAATAATGTGGGCCAGCACTTGTATAAAGAACAAAATACAATGCCATGGAAGAGACACAGGAATGCAAACTAAGAAAATTCAGAGGATGAGCCTCTTGATCTGCTATGATCTTTGACACTGCTTATAAACTGAAGCCGTGTTATGGTTATTTTTTCCCTTGTTCATCTATGTTCAAACCCTACTATACTTTTTCTTCATGTACACACACTTGCCAGAAAGTAAAAGACTATTAGTATGAGCAGAAATCTGTAAGGAACTGTGTTTCATCTGGTATATCCAGATAAATCTCGGGTTGGCACTATTCTGCCTGTGACACCACCTGTGAAAATCCAGGGGCAAATTTTCCATTTCCAAGTAATTTTCAAAACTATTTACTGCTTACCTACTAAATGGAAAATGTTATGAAGGGCACGCTTTTAAGCAGAGTTTGTTCTTTTGCTGTATGTTGTCACAAGTGAGACAGGGAAGGCCCATTTTAAAGTGTCTAATCATTTAGATGCAGCATCTTATTTCACCACTGTCAAACAACTTGGCAGACTCAATGATAATGAACAAACAGGTTCAGTTCTGAACACAGAGTAACTCTTGTCTAGGAAGACAACCTTACCCTGCAGTGGATCAACTGGCAGAGGAAAATGCAATGCTCAATTTGCCACTATTTTCCATTAGCTTTGGCCCACCCTGCAGTGCTATTGAGTTACTCAGAGCTGGAATAACTCCTGGTGCTATTCTCCATTGGAAGCAGAACTTAGAGGAAGGGAAAACAGACTGGTGATGAAACAACACAGACCTGCCAAGCCAGGCTGATTCCAGTCATATTGTGCTCAAAAAATTTTTATATGTGCACTTATATATGTACACATACACACATGAACAGTTTTGCTTTAAATAAACCCCACTAAAATAAAAGTGCCCTGGGTACACTGATCAAACAGTTAGTCCAGTATCCTAAAATTGTGCTGGAAGGTTACTGCAATTTCCATTCCAGACACCTGCCACATCCAGCCTCCTCTCTAAGCAGATGAAAACCAGTGGAGCCAGACGATGATGAAAAGTTGTGAGGGCAATGCAGTTAACACTTGTCCCTTAGAAAGGGAAAATGTGATTTTTTTCATCCTGAGCATGTTACCAGGGCAGCAGCCACAGCATTGCAGGACCAGCACTGCTCTGAGCCAAGGCTGTAGCTGCAGGAGCATCCTGGAAGGGACAACACTGGAGCTACTGTCGGAAGAATTCGCTGAATGGAAACAGGCAGCCTACTTTGGTGAGGAGGCAGGTGGTTTTATTGAAATGTATGAACAGCAGCATTTGTGAAAGGAGGAGGTTGAGTTACTCATGGCTGAAATAAGTTTATTCAGCCTTTGATGAGAAAACTTTTGTCCAATACATTATTCACTGGCATTACACAACCAGTTCTCAAGGAATGTGTTTAGTCATACCATCTTGAAATGGCAGAATTCCGGATTTGATCCAAAATTTGAGAATGTTTGAGGTGATGTGTACTGTAAGCCTTTCTGGGTTTACTGGGATCCAAGGGTCTATAAGAAATGCCACCCGTCCAGCTTTAAAATAATTTTTCATGTGAGAAATGTGGATAAAGTACAATTACAGCAAGGCTGTGAGAAAATAAGGGTTTTCAGTTTAATTCTTACCTGTGACCAGCAATCAATATTAAGTTAGCTGTTGTATAAGTGAAAAATTTATTCAGAATAGCCTTCAAGTAATAGCTTAGAACTTAGATATTTTCTTTTTAAAGTTTTTACAATTCTGGGTGAGCATCGATGCAAATGCAAACATTTATAATAGAGCTGCAAGACACAGAGCAACATTTATTGTTGTACCATAATAAATAAATCCACTATCGCAGAATTATGCATGACAAATATGGATTTTATACACATGGATGTGATTAATAAAAATTGCAAGTTTCATAAATACACCAGAACAGTAGTGGGTTTTATTCTATTTATGGCTAAATGTGTCCCTGCAGTAACAATAGTCCTACTGCTGAAATGATTGCCATGTTCAAAGTACATACCACTAACCACATCGACAAACACAGAGACATTACAAGGCATCTGCAAGGGGAACGGGCACAGTACTGATCTCTACACTTCTGCACCCATTCATACATGCCTGGGAATTCTTGCCCCTTTTCCTTTTTTAGCAAACTCCTGGGGTCACAGGCTAACCTAGAAAAACCCATTCTGTCATGTTGCTGCATGCAATAGAAATGGAAATCTGAACACATTTCATGCACAAAAGTATACAGGAGGAATTAAACTCCTGATTCACACCCCATATATTCAGTTCTTTATGATGCTGCAGTTTGAAAATCTACCAACTCAGTCTGATAAATTGTTTGACTATACTTTCTTTGTAGCCAAGACAACATCTAGGAGATGTTGTCTCTCAAGGGTTCCCTCAATGACTTTCTGATTTACTAACATTATTTTTCCTTTTTACTGCCAACACATTAATTTTAAAATGAAACATGTAATATAGTTTTGTAGGTTAGCATGTGAATGCTGACTGGAAGCACTTGGTAACAATGATATTGCTGAGGCCTGCTATCATAAGGTATAAACACCTAGCAGATCACTGATTTCATCTCCTGAGATGGTATGTTTGCAAAGATAAAGGAATGACTAAATGTGTCCTCACTGTGCATCACTGCTGGCTCTGCTCCTGCACCAAATTCAGTCAGCACTGCACTCTGATGCCAGACATGCTACAGAGGTTTAAGGCAGATGAAGACCCATCCCACAGACTGCTGTTCCAGGTGGTGGTGAGACAGAAGGCAGAATGTTGTGGGTCTCACCTGGCTAAATAACATGTCCATGGATGTGTGGATCATTTGGGATTTTGTGGTAAGTGGTGAGAAGATAAGCGGCAAAAGACTCCTCATGCCACGGTTGTGTCATTTGGGCAGTGAGCTGTGAAGTGGGGCAGACACACTCAGATCTCAGGACTGCCAGCTTCAAAACAAACACCTCTTCCATACACAGCAGAGTCCTGAAGCAGATCCCTAGACACAGTCCTAGCTAACCAGTCAGTGACACTCTCTGCAGGCTGAGAGAATGCTATTTTGTCCAGACTCTCTGTCAAAACTTTTGGTGCAGAGTGGAAGCAAAATCCAAACCCTAGAACTTGCTCCCAAATGGAGCCAACAACCAGCTCTGGATGGGCATGCCTTCCCCCACTTCAATGCAAATCATCAAGTGTTGAACCACTACAACTCAAAAAAAAAAAAAGAAACATAAAGTGTTCACTTGATTAAGTAATACAAAAGAGATCAAAGAGTCAAGCCCAGTTTCATAGTGGGACCATTACAAGGCAGACATTGTCACAAAAAGCTATGAACAACCACAATGACAGTCCAGTCCTTCATTCTTTCAAGACCTCTGTCACCTTTCTCAGGCTTTTGTGTGATACGTTTTTAAGCTACAGACTTCTAGTAAAAGACAAGTTTTGATTGCAAACTGGATTATCTCATAAATTTGCATTATTTGCATAAAAGTTCTCATCAATTTGTTTTCCACCAAGAACATTCCTTAAGGTATTAGAAACAAAGGTCAGCTATAATTCTGAGCTCCACTTTTGAAATACTCACTGAGAAAATAAAACTTATGCAAAATCCATGGAAATATACTAAAATAGTAACAGTGTATTAAAGAATTTTCTTGCAATATTTGCAAGTTGTATTATATTTGGAGGTCTAGCTGCAAGCAAAGCAAATGTTGCAATGTTTACTGGAATTTTGTCTTGCAGAGTTTCAGTAACACAAAATACCCACCTACCACTGCATCTCTGCTCAGATAGATTTCATGTTGGCCATTCCTCCTCTGAAAATCAGACCATACTTTTTATTGTATCTTTATTGCAAAATCATGAGGCAGCTCTGGCAAGTGGATGGGATGAAAAATCTGCATTAACACATTTGAAGGAATTTGTTCATACTGGACTTTGGGAGATCTATGGTACAGCTTAGTTTAGTTTGGTCTCTGAAAGCCACATGCACATTTTGTATATACAAAACTGTATTTTTGCATTCATACCACTCTAAATCAGAAAAGATAACCCTGAATTCAGCCTAAAAAAGAGAGTAAAGAAAAGGTTCAAGCCCATAATTTTATCATTTCATAGTTACTGTATTGACATAAAAATAGAAGTTATCCCTGCTGCTTCAGTTAAATGCCAAAATGTTTAAGGAAAACAGACCCTGATTCCTGACACATTTTTCAAAGTGAATACTATCTTTGCTTCTGTATGGCAGAAAACCTAACAGATTGCTGTAATATAAAAACTACAAAAAGGATGCAGCATCTATCATTGTTCCAATTGATTTGTACTATTATTCCTACTTCCCCACCTCTCTTCCTCCTGACCTTCATGCAGATGCTGCCAGTAAACAAATTATTCTCAGCTTTAGGTTCTATAACTGCTCCCTGAACTTGTTGTGGGAAGCTCTGGTACTGGATTACAACATTTTTGCATTCGGTAACATTGGGGCACTGGAGAATTAAAAATAAATTAAAAGCAATCAGGATGCTATTATGGGTTGTATGTAGAGTTTGAAGACCACAGTGAAAAATGTACATCTTAGTATGAGATCAGGAGGAGAAAAGGGCAGTATGAGAAGGATACAAGGTTACTGAATGGCTTTGGACTGAAAGAAAGCACTTAAAAAGAAAACCTTTCAGAGCCAGATTCCACCCTTGAATAGCAATGGGAACTTTACAGGGGCTTTGAATAAACTATAAAATTAGATATATGATAAAGATCCTCTGCTCTGCCAAAAGAAAGCAGCCCACTCCCCAAATGAACTCCACTCACCTGTGAATGATGTGGTATCTCTGCAAATAATCCAAGGAAAGAGCCAGCTCACAAATGTACAGTTTAACAGTTCCTTCATTGAAGTGCACGTTCTGCTGCAAATGGTAACGCAGGTCACCGCCCAGTAAGAGATCAACCACCATGAACATGTCCTCTTCGTCTTGAAAGGAATACCTGGAGGAAAGAGTTACAGCTGAGATCTCAGGGTGGATGAATTTTTAACAGAGCCTTGGGCTGGCTCACATTAAGGAGATCCTGGTATGTCCCTGATTTGCTCAAAAGGCCCACACAGAGAGGCTTTCTCACTGCTGAGGTCCAGTCCTGCAAATAGGCTTTGATTGTGGGACTCTGAATGTTTAAGTGTCGTGCTTTAACCCCAGTGACAGCTAAGTACCAAGCAGATGCTCTCTCACTCCTCTTTCCCCCAGTGAGTTGGGGAGAAGAATCAGAAAGAGGAAAAACTTATGGGTTGTGATAAGAACAGTTTAGTAATTGAAAAAAAGAGAAGTATAATAATAGTACTAAGGATAAAAACAGTGATAATTCCAATGAAAAGGAGAGGAAGAAAGAAAACCCAAGAAGAGTAAGTGATGCACAACACCAGTGCTCACCATCCCCTGAATGATGTCAAGCCTGTCCCCCAGTGGCTCTCAGCCCTTCCAAATCTCCCAGTTTATATGAGCATGATACTTTATGGTGTGGAATATCCCTTTGGACAGTTTGGACCAGCTGTCCCCTGTCGTCCCTCCCAGCTCCTTGTGCAGCTCCTCACTGGCAGAGCATGAGCCACTGAAAAGTCCTGGACATAGAGTGAGCACTGCTAAGCAACAGCCAAAACATCAGAGTGTGATCAACATTATTCTCATCCTAAATTCAAAACACACCACTGTTCTAGTAAGAAGAAAACTAATTTTATCCCAGCTGAACCCAGAACCTGAAGGCAAGCAGAGCTTGAGCTACCGCCACAATACTGTCTTGTTTTAAAGATGGATTAACACCTGAATGTTGATAAAACAGAATTTAAAATACCTTTAAGATTTTTACACTCTTAAATAACCATATATTCATTCAGGTGACAAAACAGCTTACAAAGCAGTACCAATAAAATGGAAGGCCTTGAAACACACTTGGTATTTACACACATACAACTCTAGTTCAGTGCTTATGGAAAGTATCCTAATAGCATTGAGAGCTGCCGTCTCAGGGGTATTTTCCAGATTCAATAAATATACACAATGTTCTATTAGCTGAGTATTTTTTTACAGCTTGCAGTGTAGGTCCAAATTCAATAAGGACTAAAACTGCAATTTTACGGCCTAACAATACTTTTTTTTTTCAATCAGCAACCTATGTCTTATAAAATGACAGAGTCTTCGTGGTTACTGACTGAATTCTTCTGGACCCTTTCCCAGAACTGCCTGCTGAACACTCTGAGGACCAAATTTTGATGTGATTTAAATCCTGTAAATCCAAAGGTGTTCCCAGTCAATGTATTTACATATATATATATACATATATAATGTTTGGGCAAGCAGGAATTTCCATGTGTTTCCACTTACCTTGGCTCTGCTGCCATTGCTCTGTTTTTTTGTGGTCTGAGTGAACCGACAGAAACTCTCTGGATTTAGTTTCCAAATGCAACTGTATAAGATACAGTTTTCCCAAATGGGAAATGTTAAATATCTTATTTCTGATGTGAAATCACTCTTTTCTTATAAATTGTTTTAGAATTAATTTTGATGTGAAGTTATATTATCTTATACCAGGTATATATGGAGCACTGAGAGGGGATCCACAGTGATAGTGCCTCTTCCAGCACCTTTCCTCCCATGAGGTGTGTAATGTATGTTGGCTACAGATATGATTCTGTTCTCCTGAACTATAAAATTTATGCCAAGAAAATGTAAAAGAGAGAACTTCCAGAAAATATGCGCACACCCTCCCCCAGAGGCAGAAAAGTCTATATTAGATTATTTTAATTGACAGTTACGTACAGTTTCACTTTCATTCCGAGGCTTGCACTTACTGAAATGAGGCACTGCTTAGGGGTTGTCACAGATGGTTCATTTTGGATTTAATGCTTGTTATTCTTTCTGAACACAGTTCTGAGAAGTGACTTTCTCTCATGCTCTGCTCTTCTGTTGCATTTCCGTGTGACTGCCAAATGCCAGGAGGGGAAAGTAATTTTATTTGCTTATTTCTCAATGAGTCAAACCTCTGAAGCAAAATGGCAAAGTAGGTGGCACATGGTGTCTGCTCACCTCTAGAGAGGCAGAATTTTGTAATACACAAACATTTAAACAGGATAACTCCAAATACATTCAAATTCCTCCAAGTATTGTGCATTACCGAGCCTGGAGCAATTGCAAAAGCAAAGCTTAAAAGTGTAATTACATTTAAGACTTTTTTTTTTCTTTTTTGACACTGTTGCTATTTTAGGTGAAGAAATTGTAGCATTGAGCAGTGGTAAAATCATCATAGAGTGGCTTTGGTTGGAAGGGGTCTTAAAAATCATCTGCTTCCAACCCCCCTGCCATGTGTAGGGGCACCTTGCACACATTAGACCAGGTTGCTCAAAGCCCCATCCAACCTGGCCTTGAACACTTCCAAGGACAGGGCAGCCACAGTTGCTCCGGGCAATCTGTTCCAGTGCCTCACCATCCTCTGGAAAACACTAATTTTTCCCTTTAGTTATCAATTGAGTAAGGTACAGATTTTGTTTCTTTCTTTTTTATAATTTTAAAATAATTTTTGAAAAAAATTGCAGATTGAAAACTCTACTTAAAGGGTAAGTGAAATATTGTGTCTTGTCTGGGACTAAAGAACACTCTTGGTGCCTAAAGTCATATGATGACATGTCAGTAGAAATGGTACTGATACACATCTAGTTTTGAGATATAAATGTCCTTAGTCTTTTTTTTTGGGCAGAGTGTGAGATCAGGGTAAAGAGTGACAGCTGTGAACTTGCTTTTAAATCCAATGATTATTCCCTTTTTTTTTAATTATGAGTATGTTTCAAGAAGAATACTCACTCTAGACAAAAGACCCATGAGAACCATCCAGAAATAAATGTGCAATCTTGTTCACATCCAGATAAATGCTAACACTTGGTGGAACATGATTTTCACTCCAAACATGTTTTTAGGCTGATATAGTCTGGTTTTAGGCTGATATACTCTGGTTTTATGTGCTTGTGAGAAGGGAATGTGGTCCTTTGTCACCTGCCAGGCAAGCTTTTGCACAAGCTTAATTATTAATGATTTAAAAGAGAGATCAAATAAAAGCTTTCCTGCAGGGCTCAACCAACCTGCACCCATTCACTGCCTTGGGACTCTCAGGGCACTCTGGGCATCCAGGCTGGAATAACAACAGATGGGTTTTGTCCAGGGGCTGCCAGATCCACTAGTAAATCAATCTCCTGCTACCATGCCTTGCCTCTCAGGTAAACACATGAAGTGCAATCCCTAAGAACAGAGCTACAAGGCATTCCAGAAGTGGCTGTACCTCTAGAACAAAATACTTTGAACCCAAACACAAAACCCAAATAAACAAAACCCTCAACAAAACCAAAAATACCCCCAGTGACACCAAAACTAAACTGGGAGACCTTCAGAAGTACAGCTATTGAAGGCAGCATTCCCACATAGGATACTTCTCAGATTTGTCTGGGCCATCTTGACTAGATCATGATTTGCTAAGAAAGGTTGGAGTAGATGATCCTTGAGATCCTTCTATCCTTTTATTCTATGATTCTGTGATCTTTCATGACCTGTGGACGTAGCGCAAGTCAGTTTTATTTAGATGTTGAAGGTAGAATGATGTACACCAAGACACGGTGGTTGTGAAGCTCCCTATATCCTCTCTGATGTTCTGCTCTTGCACTCAGAGTTTTTGGTTTTCTTTTGTACTGATATGTGTCTCTGGTAACTCTGCTAAGCCTGCCAGAAGTGCTGTGTATACTGGTTCAGTTAAGACAAAAGCTGTATAGGCACAGTTTGAAGGAACAAGTGCACGGACATGTTCAGGATATTGAGATCTTCCCACCCCCTCTGAATTCTATCCCACTGGACACACATCTTTATGCTACTCTTACACCCTTTCTCATGGGCAGTGGTGTCTTCCCCACACAGTTGATCCAGTTAGGTCAAACCTTCATGGGTGGCATTTCTCTGTCTGGATCAGACCACAGTGTCATTAAGACCACCCCAAGACATTTTCTGGAAGATAAAGAGATTCATCCTAGTGAGACTGTGTGTCTTTGACCTAGACCACATCTTGGGCATGGCAAACAGGAGGAGGTCTCTGGAGCTGGCAGGCACTCCACTGAGCAGATCTTTCAGCTACCAATTTCTAAGCTACTGAATGCAGAGCAGGAGTTTCTCCAGGTCCTGCTATGCAGCTGGGTAACAAATGGTATAATTTTCCTTGTATCCTGCTTTAAGGACTAACAGGACTTTATGTACCAGCTTAGACAAATTTAGTGTGTCATGGTCACAAGCAATCTAGTCTTATGCCTCTCTCCCTCACACAAATGCAGTATTCTGCCTTTACATAAGAAATGAAATATTACCTTTATACTCTTGTTCTATTGAAGTATTTTAAGAAAAAAGAGCTTTTGATATATTGGTCTAAGAATTGAAATAGACAAGTGAAATATTGGCCATGGGAGAAAGGAACCTTTGAAAGTGTTGCTGCTGGTTGGGGAGGGGCTGGTGGCAAATCAGACCAGTGGAGATTAGTTTTTGAGCAAACATTGTAATTTTACTTTTGTAAGCTTCTTATCTGTTCAAAGGGAAATGACATAGAAAAGAGTTGATTGGTTTTTGAAATAAACTCAGGGGTTGTTTGGGATTTTTATGTTAACCAGGTAGCTGAGAAATACCTTCCAAATGAATTGACACATTGTAACTTATGTTGAATATTAATCAATTGATATTGAATACCAATAATACATTATTAGTTACCATAGAAACAACATTTTAATCCTTCTTGAAATGAAAGAGTAAATGACTTGAAATAATAGTTCTTGTTTGTTTCCTAAGTAGTGTCATTCTCCAGTTATAGGAAAACTGTTCTAAATACAGACCCAGCCTCTCCTTTTGCTTAGTTGAAGAAAAGTTTGAATGCATTATATTCATCTTTCTCAAAATTAAGATAAAATAATAAAGCCCATA